GAAACGAGTGGAACGGCCTTCCACGACAAATATACACCACTAATTAGAAATACTGGCTAAGCATCTCCACCCAGTCTGATTCGTATTGCTAAACTTATCTCTCGGCTGAGGAAAAACAAACTTTCTGACGAGTGAGTAACCTAGCAGCAAAAAAAAACCAGAAGTGCTTGTCTCACACATATCTGGTTTAAAATTTGTTATATACTAGTTTGAGAACAACAACTGTAGCCAAATGTGATGTTTCATTACCTCTTCGTTTTGTAATATTACTCTTACACATTGCTGCTTAAAATTCTGCTATGGCCTTATCAAAATAATATGATATTTAATCATGAACTAACTTTCATTAAATAATGTTATCAGTAACTTATCATCTATTAAAATAGTTCATTGACCTCGCGTGAGTTTGTACTTTTGTAAATCATGAAAAAAAAGAGTGCTTCCATTCAAACTTTCCAAAGTCTACCAGTTTGAGGTCTGAAATAATTTATAAAATACTAACACGTGTGTCTTTTTGTTTGTTTATCTAGAATTAAAGCTAGCTCTAGAAGAGCTTTTTATCTGTAAACATGGCAGAGAAAGGGTTAACCGGAAAAATGGAAATAAAGAAAATGTCTCGATAAAGCCTACGAGTAACAAAAAAAGAAGCCTTTATTAAAAATCACATCGATTTTAATGTGAAATTCTGAGCAAGAACTATATTCCAAAATCTCCATTTAAATCCTTCCTTCACAGAATAACCAATACATTCTTTCCGAAAAAAAAGGACCTTTATTTTCAAGATTCGTTATACGCACGCGCGTAAGACACACTGATATAGGAGCTTTTCCTCATAATTGTACCTAATTAACACCACTATAGATGTAATTTGGTTATAAAGTAACAAAAACTTGAGAACAGACTTACTTCGGTTTATGATACTACAGCGAAAATCTTCAGTCGTAATTTAGTTGTAGACAATGAAATGTTGCATGTTTACTTATAAAAGGATAATTGATGTACCTCAATATCAAAAATAATTACCAACCAATGAAATAATGTATAGTGACAGATCAAGATTGTGTATAAATACACCATTAATTGGCTTAACTAAGTGATCTGTTTGTATGTGAAAGTTCTGAAATACAAAAGGGAAGAGCCACAATGTTTCCTGACTTTTGTCCACTTTTTTTTAATCAACTCGCTGGCTTTTCCATGTGCGTGATCGCCCTTTCTCTCATACTTGTGGTATACGTTTTTCCTACTGAGTACCAGTAATATACTTGATTATAAAACTTTTAGTAGCGAAATAAGAGAGACAATAATGACATAATGGTATACACTTAATCTCGAGTAATATATAACTTTTATCTATAATGAAACATAAAACACTATAAACATATAGAAATAAAGCGAAAGTATGGAAGCAAATGGCACAATTTAATTAATGTCAGCACACGACTGAGACTGAAGTAAGAAAAAAGTGTGTTTTACCCCACTTAAACAGAAAACTTTGCGATATATTCAAACAAGCATAGCTTGAACTTACAAAAACGTAACTTTCTGCTGTGATGTGTGACTTTGTTTGTCTCTTTCCGTGAACAGTTACCATTCGTATCATAAACAGGGGTGCCACATTCCATTTTCAAGTTTGGGTATTCGTGTTGGCCCTGATTATCATCTCTATAATACCTTGGTTAGTGAACTCAGGAGTGGCCAGTGTAACATATCTTTATCTCAAATGATGTTCAGTTTGCTTTGCTAACTCTATGCACCTGTAAACCATAACTTCTTGTTTGTTTTTAATATAAAACATTTTTCAACTGGTTATCAGCTGTAATATGACAATTATTTTGTCAACTTTCACATGATACACATGGAAATGTTAAAAACCTCACCAATGGTAACGAAATTGGTCAGTTTATTTGGGCATATTCTGGTGTCTATTACACTTTAAAAGTTTGTGTCCTAATGGAAGACTTACTCTATTTTTTAACTATCACTGTTGTTAGACTCTGATGTCCGATGTATTCGAACAGATGATTAAAAATTGACCTCGATAATGATGCACTTCTAAATAGGCACTCAATACAATGTCCAATTTTAAAGTTGTAAGGCTTCTTGTTTTATCCGTTGCAGATGGCCAGTCGATGTAGTAATGGAAAAACAAACATGGCTAATCAGTGAAATAGTAGAAGTAATCATCTTTCTGTCTTATAAGACTGTCAGATGTTACGTTATGTTCGCTAATTGTTAATTAAAGGCTTTTATCTATACTTCTTGATAATATAAATATATACTATGTTGTTGTTGAGCTTAGGATTTTTCTACAGTATGTGAATGTGACTTGTTGGCGATAAATGAACAGCACACGCTTCACTTGTTTTCAAAATAATATAAAATATATTATATATATATATTCGAATTAGTTAAACGTATGTACAATAAATTCTTTGCACTATAGAGATTATAGGCATATCATAAACCCTAAATATATAGTTCTCTTCTTCTTGTTAAATATCCACTTAGGCCTATTCAGTTTAGAATTTCAGTTGACAAGTCGAACTATCTTCTCTATATTACTATCGCACTAGTATTCTGTGTGTGATTCACGTACAATTCTAGCGCGAGTTACCGTAATCGTTTGGTCTTATTTCTTCTGAAGATCCTCAGGCTGATTCAATTACTTTAGAACCACGCTTCGACGGAATAATTCTCCTTCTTATCCCCTTTTCTACTGTTAGTCTTATTCTAACATATTGAACGTTAGGCCTATGACTTCTACGGTAGTTAACTTCACGCCGAACTTTTTCTTACCCGTAATTTTATTCTCTTCTGCTATTGTCTGTCTGCTGCTTTCGCTCCTCTCACACTATATATATATATATCTTTATCACTAAATCGTCTGGCCTTCTAGAAATCTCTATATTCTCGACGTCAATGTATTGCACGCGACGTTCGATGGTCTCAACATGAATTATAAACATAACTTCTTACAATCGTCTGCTTTTAACTCTTATTGTAAAAACTAAACAATAATAAAATATTCACTCACAAAATAAAATAATCAATAATATCTAAACAGTCTTTTATATCATGACAAGGAGCATGTATAAAAATTATTTGCAGTGTGTGTTTGTAAGTATGCAATGAGAGAAAACCAGGAAATAGAGAACATACTAGTTTTTGTTTCGTTTTGTAATTAAGCACAAAGCTACACAATGGGCTATCTGTGCTCTGCCCACCATGGGTATCGAAACCCTGTTTCTAGCGTTGTAAGTTCGCAGACATACCGCTATGCCACTAGGGTGCCAACATAATAGTATGTATACATTTGTAACAACTACGTCATGAGATCTTCCATATAACAAAGTCATACCGCTACACTGAGTAACAACATAAATCATCAATAAAATTGGACTGATACTGCTCGAAATAGCAGCTCTTTACTGACTATATTGATGGTCTTGTTACCCTGTGTAAGCTATCATGCTTTATTGTTGCAAGTATATTGATTGAATGAACGTCCCTTAAGAATGTTTCATCAGCTTGTCCCCTAGCAGTTTTTCTTCCTTTATTGTAAGATGCTTACAACAAATCAATTTTACAAGTATCTTTCAATACATAATCTGCTCCAATTTTCAACAGTTTTTTTTCTGATATGAAACGTCTTCTCTCACTTAGTTCAGTATCAGTCTTCTCTCTAAAATTCCCACCTGTAAAATTAATTCATAAATACTCTTCTCGTCCAGTTGTAATGATGTGTTTAAAAAGGAAAAAGAGACATTGAGTGTCTTGATATATATAACCATATAAATATTACCCAAGAGTTTATAGAAAAGTATTAACAAAATTTCAATATAGAATTATTCCAACCTTCACTTGTCCTTTAATCATACAGGTATAATTTCAGTAAAGTTAGTCCCATGACTTCCGATGTCAACAAATGTTCTTCCTTCGTCGAAGGTCACATACACCGCCATTTAGAATTAGAATAACCTGGATATTTCGACAGATGTTATTGACTGTATCTAGCCTATATGCAGTGATGGCGCTACATGTTGTAAGCTGAACCACCAAAATTTGCAATGAACTCACGTCGGACGACAGTTTAAATCGTTGAACCCGAATAGATCTTTTGTTGTACAAAAAGTGAGAAGTAATTTTAAATGTTCCGTTTGAAGAGTGGGGATTTTGTCTCGGTGAAGGCTGCACACGTTTTAGTAACGTATTAATACGTTTGTAGCTTTCCTATGAACGCACAAGGTTAAATGGGCATTGTATACTACTGAGTTTAACACACGCATATATAAAGACAAGGAAAAGGGGCAAAGTATGGAAAATGTGAAGCCATATCATTCAGGACATGCAGTAGTAACTCCATCTGGTAACATGTAAAATGGTACAAAAATAAAATGTGTATTATGACTGATAACTCCACTCTGATGAAGCACCACTAGAGTCATGTTATTCATATTTCGTTCCCACAAAAAAACTGGCAATGAGAGTGAATAATTCATGTATTTGAAATGTGTGAGGGGGGCTAGGAAATATTGATGTGAATGTGACAGGAACTATGCAAGTGTTTTGTAAAAAAGAATGATTATTTGCTAATACAAATAATGTATTTAACTTTAAAAAAATAAGATGTTTTGTCAAAGGATAGAAGATGACTTCGTCAAACAAAATAAAATAAAAAGACTTGTATTAACCACAGAAAGTTGATTTTGACCCCATAATTTTGGAACCGTGGCGCCATCACTTCATAAATGAAATGTGTGATCTAGCTTAAACTTGAAATAACTCAAACATATTAAAATATTATTACTTGCGGGTGTATTTCAGGAAAACGTTGATGATATGCAATAGCAAAGTTACAAAACGACAGCTTTGATGTTGTACCAGATCACAGTAATTGACAAATATCATTTAGATTTATAGGTTTAAGTTTATTTGTATAACATTTATATTTAACACAGTAGTATTCTTTTCATAAACAGTAAGATGGAATGCTATTTCAAAGTAAGATTACCCCTCGAAACATTTCCAGTACAGTCCATCATGGAGTACTATTATATAGTAAGATCACTCTGTAAACATCTCTCATCCCAGTCCATGATGCTGTACTATCATAAAGCAAAATTAGTATCTAAACATTTCCCAGCTCAATCCATAATGGAGTGTTGGTTCGAAATAAGATTAGATCAAAACATTTTTCTCATAGTCCAACATATGATCGAAGGTTCTCTACATAACACAGAGTCCAAAGTAACAACGGGAAGATACTGAAAATGATAAGGAACGTTAAAAGTATGAAGTTCCGAAAGAAAGGTCCCTCCATACTGTAAGCAAGAAAAGAAAAAGAGACATCTTGTGAAGAAAACAACTGCTTACATATAAGTGTAAAATTGATGTTACTTTAAGTTATATGTTAATTATTAAATGTTATTTAATTTTTGATATACATCAAATGTGGAATTTTAAACAAGTTTATAAGAGGTACGTGGCTTATAATAACAATTATTACTTTCTTACCCACTCTTTTCGTCATTAAACTTAACCGTCATTTTTTTAAACTTAACCCAAAAGTAAAGAACACACTGCTGGTAAACAAAAACGCATTACACCTTAAGATAAGAAAAAATAAATAAATAGACTGACATTATGAAGTCTTTGTTTCTTTGTTTTAGTGCAAAGCTACATAATAGGCTACTTGCGTTATCTCTACCGCGGGGAATCGAACCCTAAATTATACCTCTTTAAGTCTGTAAACCTACCGTAAGGTAACGTCGGGTAAAAAAATCAGCAAGTATAAATCCCCGGGGAACAGAGATATGAAGAATAGATGTGTATCGTAATAGTGCAGCTTATTTTCATTATATTTGTGGCATAACTTAACTCCATGTTATATACATATTCCTTACGTCTTAATTTTTATGCTAACGTTTCCTACGTATTCATGTTTATAAACATGTTTTCCTGCTTCCCACATCTTCATGCTCATTATCCTTGTGTTTGCTTGTATAAATATTATCTTTTTTTTTAGATATATATTTTAAAAGAATGAAACATAAACACTAATAACATATTAAGCAAAATATACCTTTCAATAGGAACTTCTCTACATATTCTCAGCCAAACCACGATAATAAACACACCACATAGTTCCCTATAAAGACAAAACAGCATCACCAACTCATGCTGTGTGAAAATGTATGCACGTATGCAATGTGGTATTACTGATTGTTATACCATTAGAATGAAAGTGGTGGTAACTATATTCTATAAGCTGATAAATATTTATTCTGAAGCTTTTTAGAATTCACTTGAAATTTATACGTGTATTCGAATTTTATAATATGTGCGTGTGTTTTTATTTCAGTAAAAAATACATTAATTTATATTCATAAATTTGCTTGTTTACACTTTGAGATGTTCTTACAGTCATTCTCAATTTTATTTCCACATATTTGTTATGCAGTAGTCTTATGTAATAAAAAACATGCTATTTTAAATGATAAACGTTCTACGGGATATATTTTAAAGTTATTGTTACACATTTAAACTTACTTGAAAAGTATGACTTGGACCAACCATCTAATTGATCATCAATTTCTTACTTTCTTCTTATATAATTACAATTCTAAATAATAAATCATTAAGTAGCTATCAGAATTATGACCCCTCGTTCATATTAAAATCGCAAAAACAGTTTTCTTAATTCTACGTATTGGTAAAATTTGTTAGGCTGAATTAAGAGAGAGACGCGAAGCTGTTAACATAAAAATGTATCAAATGAACAACATATAAAACAAAAAGATAAATCCCTGTAATGCACGAAACTTTCTGTCAAGTGGATTATTTTTCGCATAAAAAGTGTACTGCTCTATTAAGTTAAAATCTTCAGTGACGACTGCTTGGTGGAAATGACAGCAATGTACTTTTCTTAGTAGACACCATTGACGAATGAAATGCTTAATATTATTAGCAGTTTAACTGTAATGTTTTGCTTGATGGAAATCGCAGCAATGTACTTTTCTTAATGGAAACCACTGATGAATGAAAGAAATTTTCAACACTTTATACCCTAAAAAAGCTACGCAGTTTTAAAATGTGAGTGTTTTAGGTATATTAGCAGAGCCGCCGACAGGAGGGGGGGGGCAAAGGGGGCAACTACCCAGGGGCCCGGGCGAATGAAACCTGGTTATGCCGTAAAGCCCGCAAAGCATCTTTAGGATATATCTTCATTTAATGATAAAAAACATAGTTTGGGCTTTTCTTTGCATATAGATGTTTGATACATTAAGAACGACTGAAATAATAATTTGAGTAATAATTAATATGTATTTGTTACTTTATAGATTTAATAGATGTTTGTTGTTACTTTATAGGTTTAATAGATATTTGTTGTTACTTTATTAAAGTTTTTACGCTTATACTGTGAGATAAAAACGGCTGCTGCTATGATTTTGTCTGGTTTATGAGTTCGTTGCTGTCCTAATTTAGGATCTTCTTTTTAATAAATTCTTGAAAATATTAAAAAAGAGAGAGAAAACGGGGGCACCGGCGAGGATGTTTGCCCCGGGGCCCGTGCTGTCTCTCGACGTTCCTGTATATTAGTTTTATATTTTTTTCAAGAAATACGAAATATTCCCTATATAAAAGAGTTGAAAACATCATTCTTAGGTGTAAAATATACATGTAGACTATCAACTAAATAATCACTGCATTAGTTAAAAAAATACAGATTTTAATGAAATCATTTTACGTTGCTGCAAACAAGTTCACTTTGATTACGTTTTCATATTTAAAAATGTAAATTGTTTTATGAATTACAAAGTAATCTTCTGCTCATGTAAGGTCGTATGTTTGAAATGCGTAACGCAGTCATATAACTGCATGTGTAAAACATCGATCAGCAAGAAAAATATACATTAAAACTGCTTTCTCGTGGAATGAAACTTAAACGACTTACTTACCACAACTACTGCATAATAAATAGCCTTATCAAACGACTTACTTACCACAACTACTGCATAATAAATACCCTTATCAAACGACTTACTTACCACAACTACTGCATAATAAATACCCTTATCAAACGACTTACTTACTATTTATTATGCAGTAGTTGTGGGGCTATTTATTATGCAGTAGTTGTGGTAAGTAAGTCGTTTGATAAGGTTTATCAAACGAAATTTACAGTAAATTAAATGGAATTTTGACTGGAAGCAAATCAAAAGTATTTATATATATTACGTAAAGCATATACTTTTTACAAAAAAAAGATTTCTTTCATTAACAATACTGTTTAAAATGTTTGATATTCACATATATATATTTATTACCGAGATTATCTTGCACTAGCTGGAGTACCCATCCGCTGTACGGGTGAAAATAAACCTCGTTTATGACGAAAAATATGAAGTTGTGCTTCTATTTTTTTCTTAACATAATAAACATTATATGTGCAATAAAAATACATAAAAGTATCAATACTGAAAAAAAAGACATACTGTTTTTAAGAATTCTATCAATACGAAAACAATGGGGGTCTATCCCCCCCTCATGGCCTTCCTCGTGTCATTCTGTATCATTCTGTGTTAAGTTTGGTGCTGACTGATCAAGAAATGTGGAAACGTATAAGGAATAGATACACACACAACATGTTTATTTATATAGATTGTTAGCTTAGTTGGCTAGACCTCGCGAGATATTACTGTATGGTAGCCGAACTATCGCTAACAGTGCTGGTATACAACGTGTTCTAATATTTATACTTACTTAGCTATAATCATTACCAGGTTGGTTTTTAGTTATGATCTATGTATGTCACTTGCTTTGATCAGAAATGAATATTCATTAAGATATCACGGTTTGGCCCATAGAAAGATGAAAGTTACAGGGCAATGAAGAATCTAAAAGTAATATTTCTAATTATTTTTATCTATAAGCTACTAAGACTATCTTCCGCTGGCCTAATTTTGAGCTACTGACCAGAGGGAAGGCAGCCAGCTAGCACCAGCCATCGCCCACGCTAAGGGATTGGCTGTGTCGCTCTTACAATACACCCACAGTTTTATTAAAAGTACGTGCAATATTTCGTAGCATCGCACGGATTCGAATCCGACTCGCCAGTTCTAAAATCAAAAGCTTTATCACAGAGCCAACCCACGCCCTAGAAGAAATATCGGGGAATTAATTCATTTCCAGTGATAGAATTGTTTTGGGAGTAAATAAAGCAGATACAATGCAAGAAACAGAATTAATGTGTGAAGCAGCAACAAGACTTGCCTGCCTTCTTCGTAATTCCCTGGATTGATTCCATAAAGTTGGGGGTCCATCACTCTGGCAAACTGAACAAGCAGGTAGAGAAAGAACGCAAGGGAAGTTATAAAATGTAGAAAACAAGCTAACCTCCACATGAAGTTACCTGTATTCCAAAAAAAGAAAGGCATTTGATATGCAAGCAAATAAACTTATATATTTATCGAAAAACTATTTTTATAAACAAATAATACAGCATTTTTTCTCAGTTTAAAAAAACAGCTACCATATACCAACTTGCCTGTGATGCCTTCAATTTTCTCATAACAATTTAAAACAAGCGGAAAAATAAAAAAATAGCTTAACTTATGTGTTCTAACAATTAAATATTTTAAATTATATATACTACGCTGCTTATAGAAATATAAAAATCTTTGTCTTATCAATTAATCAGTTTAGTGACTAGTTTTTGTCTTTTCAAATTTCTCTTTCCTTATAACTAGACAGAAAGATTAAGAAATACATCTCTTGAACACCCAGTAAAAAGATCCCAATAAAACAAACAACACTTCAGAATTTATAGTATATGTTTTACTACAAACTAGCTTAAAAATGAGCTTAGAACAAAAAAAAGAACAAATAATACATGTTCAAGATATTATTTATTATCAAGTGTAATGCATACTGAGAAGTTTGTCCAATTATCACCATGTTTGGTTTATAATGCAAAATCACACTGGTTGTATGTAGTTCACAAAACTTCAGAACGTCGGTCTCTCACTCAAGCGGTGGCCCGGCATGGCCAGGTGGTTAGGGCGCTCGACTCGCAATCTGAGGGTCGCAGGTTCGAATCCCCGTCCCACCAAACATGCTCGCCCTTTCAGCCGTGGGGACGTTATAATGTAACAGTCAATCCCACTATTCATTGGTAAAAGAGTAGCCCAAGAGTTGGCGGTGGGTGGTGATGACTAGCTGCCTTCCCTCTAGTCTTACACTGCTAAATTAGGGACGGCTAGCGCAGATAGCCCTCGTGTAGCTTTGCGCGAAATCCATAACAAACAAACAAACTCACTCAAGAAATCAACACAAGAACACGCACAAATATGTTACATTATCAGCACAGGTCCGAGTAAATCAACACAAGAACACGCACAAATATCTTACCTTATAAGCACAGGTCCGAGTAAATCAACACAAGAACAAACACAAATATTTCACCTTATCAGCGCAAGTCCGAAGAAATAAACTAAAGAACACACGTTGATCTGCCTTTTTGAGTCCTTTTTGTGGTTTGAATATGTTTGCTTGATTTTTTGTTGTTGTTACAGAATACGGTAATTCGGGTTTGGAAGTTGAATGGTTAACAGGTAAGCAAGTGCATCCTCCAACAATAGATTTGAGTGATGAGTATATGTGTGTGTGTGTATCACTTGTCGACTTTGATCTGTTCCTTCTTCTGTGTGTTTTGTATATATTCATCCACTAATTCGTTTTGCCATACATTGTTTCACTTTTGCAAAGACATTTTTTTCTCGTTTTCAGGTAGTCATTTCTGAAGCCACTAAAAAAGTGAAGACTATAGTGAGGTACTCTCAGGTAAAAGTGAAACCAACAGCTGGTTCGAAGATAAGGTAGTGTAAAGAAAAAATGAAACAAAACCTTTGTTAACTCTCACACACCTGAGCCATCGATTCCACGGACCTGTTGTTTGATTTTTTATAGCATTTCAAGACAAATTACTAAACGAAATTGTTTGTGACGTTAGAAAAACTTTATAGAGAGGGCCCCCAGTGGCACAGCGGTACGTCTGCCGACTTACAACGATAGAATCCGGGTTTCGATACCCATGGTGGGCAGAGCACAGATAGCCCATTGTATAGTTTGTGCTTAATTACAAACAAACACACAAACAAACTTTATAGAGAATATATAGTTTCTGCAAATAAAGTATCTACATTTATAAGTGATATTTGTATGAATTAGCAGCTTTGAAATTTTGAAATGATTTCATTGATATGTTTTTAACAGTCAAAATGTTTACCTCTGTTGTAGCTTTTAACTACTGATTTTTATAACTTCCAATATTCTTTTAAACATTCCATCTAAAGTTTCTGTTTTACCAAACTGTAATTTGTATCTTTGTTGGGATTTGAAAAACACTACACACACAGTTTTACTGTGTTTACAACCACTGAAATACAATGAAAATAACTTTTTATCATAGCAAAATTATAAGTAAGCAGACCTTCATATTATTAATCAGAAGGTTTAATTTAATATGCGTAATTTTTAAACTCTTTTATGTTAATTTATATATTATTATTTTTTACATTTCTTTTTAGTGTTTTTCTTTCCCCATTCAAGCAATGACATAGGCAGCCAAGGCCTATTGTAAACAGGGCCTAACATAGAGACCTTGTCGTCAAAATGAAATTTGATAAGATGGAGTTCAAAATGACTTAGCTAAGTTCATCTTCTTCCACGAAAAACATACTGTAACATCGCAATTCAAATAAAGCTTTAGAAAATAATAACTGTAACTGTGGCACAGTGTGTAAACAAACATCTTTTATTCTAGCAAAATTTCACCAAGTTAAGCTTTTATCACTGAGTTCCAATTTCTATGTAGAACTTCGCTGAACTAGAAATACTTTAAATGGTTAAAAAGAGCTTTCATTACGTGTTTAGATTACTAGCCCTTGGCTTCTTAAATCTGAGATGTAGACAATTACATCACACCACACCAACCGAAACCGATAAACAGTGATTGAATACAAATCGATCAATTATTCTTGTACTCGTTTGACAATGTCAAGTTATCGCTATTTTGTTCAAATCCATTACGACCTTTTTCCTAGGGGGCTACGAATGTCGTTTATGCTCAGAATAAATCCAGGAAATTTACAAATACTAATTATTTCCTTCGGAGCATGTTCAAATCACCCCAAAATCTCAATTTGTGACTTGTTTTTATTTTTATGTATAAAATTAGATGAATGGAACAATTTAGTATTCAATAACTTTTAACACTGGATTATTTTTAATGCTAGAAATTTCTTTTCTTTTAATTCAGTGTGCAATTTTACCCTCGAGACGGAAGCACCCGTCCAACGTGATATAGTTAAACGCCAATTAACTGTGTTTGGGCTTACTCTTCAAACAATAGTTAACTATATCATTATAGTTAACGACCTGCTACAGCAGGGATGATCCAAGACTTTTGCACTCTACAAAAGGTAAATAAATTGTTGCCTTCACTCGACAACTAGATAAGTAATTAAACTGTTACATCATACCAAAAGCCAGTACAGTATCCAACAATCCTAGATTACCTAAATGAGTTAGTATTTTTATTACATTTATTCTTAAAAGAAGATCAACACCCACTTGTATGGACCTCTGTTTTTGAATTTAACCCACATTCCAGAAGAATGACGACAAAGAAGCATGGTTAAGTAAGTGTTTGATTTATACACCGCGATATGTAACTTCAGTAACATGAGGAGGAAGTTAAAAGAGCGGGAGTTCATTGACAGAAGAAAAAAGCATTTTTCAAGTGTCGTAAGGCAATACTTTTTGGGGGGAGTGGAGGGGTGTTAAAGGAGAGTATGGGAAATTTGTGTTGCCGCTGACACACATAGGGTAGAAAGCCATAAGAAGCAAACAAATTATTTTTCATTCCCATTCAATCGGTTTTATAAACACTTTTAAAATCTCAAACTAAAGAGTGAATTCTTACGTATTAACACTCAATGATATATCACAACTATTATTTATTTTTTACTTTTAAAACTTACAAGTCCCAGTGTGTCATTCATTTCAAAGCTGAAGTTTTTTTTTTCGGATATTTGTAGTTTTTTAATGAAAATTTCAGAAATTCTTTATAGTTCATTATCTAAACTGTTTGCAAATCATATAATAGATGCTCCTTGCATAATACATTTCAAGGTTTCTAGTTTCTGTTGTGTGCGGTTTCCAATTAAGGTATTGTTCTGAGTTTTGTTGCTTTCTTCTCAATTTCAGTCTGAAATCCTCATTATTTTCTTATGACATGGACTTTGAGAAGGCTTATAAAATTGTGTGACGTATATCGTTGATGTAGATTGCGAATCTTTCTTTTTCTTCTTTAAAGTTGAAGCCGTAAAAAACATCGTCGACATACCTCAACCATTTTTTTTCTGTTTGTTGTTAAGCCCAAAAATACACAATGGGCTATCTATGCTGTAAAAATCACGGGAATCGAAACCCGGTTTTTAGCGGTGTAAGCTTCAAACTTATCACTGAGCCACTGGGGGGCTATCTCATCCAATATAAATGTTTGGAGATGGCTGTGTTTAAGGCCTTTTTTGAGTTGAATTAAAAATATATTTGCTAGTTCACTTGATATTTTTCCGCTCAAACAGACGCCGTCGATTTGACAACAAGCGATGTCGTTAAATTTAAAACAAAACTTCCTGGCAAGGTGAAACAAAATTAGAAGGTTTGATGAGGATGTGGAGATTTTGTGTTTCGAATCTTTGATAATTGGTTCAATAACAAGTTTATAGGTTTCTTCTCTTGGAATTTCGGTATATAGATTTTACATATAAAAGCATGCTATTTTGTGTGTTGAATCCGATTTTGTTAAGGAGTCAATGAAATGTTGGATGTATTTTTGTCCGTGTTGTCTGAATTGTTGTATGATTAGATATTTGCTAAGATTATAATTAAACAAATAATAGGTTGACATCATGAAACGCATTTTCATAGATGTGTTTTATGAATTTCCGGCACTCCGTAGAGTTGGGGAATTTTACCAAGTTTCTGAGTTCAGGGGCTATGCAGACTTCTTTTTCGTGGCTTTTAGAAGTGTGCTCATTTGTTTTGTGTATAGACTGTTGATGCTTTCACAAATTTTTAAGTATTTGTTGGGGTCACTTAATCCTTCATTCATTGGTGAAATGTCGATGTTTTATTCGTTAAAACGATATTTTGACCTTTGTCTGTTTCTCGATGTTCAGGTTGACGTTATTACGTAGTGTTACGACAGCGGAAGTCGCGTGACGCTGGGAGCATGCGTGCTGGAGTTTCTAGAGTTATCGGGGAACCTCACAAATGTCCCAGTGTTTGCTAGATGCCCTCTTTTTTTAGTATATAAGCCCAGCAAATAAAGCCAGCGGAAAAAGA